ACATGATCCCCTGTTTCGTTTTCTATGTAGGATTTGACAAGAATTACCTTTCTTGGACATGTCATCCATTGGAACTGGCTAAGAAAATTTGAAAGCTGCAAAAACCCAAAGATAGAAACGTTTTTATATGACTATTCACAACTTTCCAGAATTAAATTATTTGGTGAAATCTTTCATATACTAGGACTTAAATTTACCAGAAATGCAGACAAAACAGTAGCCACAGAACCTCCAATAAAGCCTTCCCATGTCTTTTTGGGGGATAGCTTGATTAGAGGTGTTCTCCCAAAGAAGAAGCCAAAGAGGTACGCTGCCACGTCATTTATTGCTATAAGAGATGCCGGGAGAACAAACCTGTTTATTATAATAACACGCATGGGAATATATTAGTCTGAGATGAATGCATTTTTTTTTTTTACTATATGAGGATCATCGGGCCCCGGGTAAGAACTCTAGCCCATGAAGATTATACAATGGGGATTTCGATTGGTTCGTGTTATGGTCTTGCTGAAGTTCAGGTATGAGCTTAATTTTCTGACAAATCGCAGCTTGATTCCTAGGTACATAATAACGCCAGAGTCCTAGGTATAGTGTTTTCTTTCAAGTAGCTGGGGTTCTTTTAGGCATTCTTTTCCCATGTGAGCAATGCTAAATGTATAGCGGCTAATGAAATCCGAGTAATCCTCAAATTGAAATTTTCAATAGCAGAAAAGAACATAAATTCATGGAACTTTTACTCTATAGTTACCAGAAAATTCCTTCAAATATATTAGGCACAGTGAAGGAAGACTGAGTGAACACCACTATAAGGATCATGTGCGTCCATGCGTATTGACCAAATTGATACTTATACATCTTCTTCTTCAGAGTAAGAATGAACCACATCATTCCTGCAAGGAATCGAAAATGATAAAAAGCATTTGTGTCAACAATATAGCGGTAATTGAACCAAAGTGAATTATGGTCATTCTGTTTTTCTTTTGCACACCTGCAATATATAGAAAGTAACAAATGACCATGTGATACTTGATAAGGCCATTCACAAGTCTATAGAAGAACTTATCCGAAGTCACAGTATTCACAAGATGCTGACTGAGAATGCGGCCGTAAACGTAGAGCATTGCGGTAAAGAAAAAGTACCTGCAAAATTATACAGAGAACATAATGACATTCTTCAACACAAATGCAATCGAGTTTCCTTTTTTATTTTTTATTTTTTTTTTCTTGCTTTTGTTTTCCTCACCAATTGATAAGCCAGAATCCCGGCAGCCTCTTATCTTCATGAACACGTCTACGTAGATGAAAAAGCTCGGATGCCATTAATATCTGAATAACAATGACCATGGCGCAGATATAGAGATGTCCCAAGTACAGAATGAGTATGACGCCTCCGAGCATCCATAAAGATGAATACGTTCGGATCCACATGGATCTGTATTTGTTCCGATCATTCATAAGCAAGTGGTCCCCGTTCAATCCGCTTCCATTAGGAAACACCTGGCGCCAAAAAAACCAGAGCAACATTTTTCTGAGAATTAAAAACCAAATGCAGCGTCTTCGCATTTCCTATAACCTTATTCTTTTCCGCATCCTGTATATGATAAAAATCACCAAAACGAACCAAAAAAAAAAAAAAATGTATGTTAGAGAGACCTCAAGTGACTTGGAACGCCTGCGCTGCCGGATTCGAGGAGACGATGGCAAGGATTCTTTGTTCATTGCTATTGGAATTCACCCTTTCCCCTAATAAGGATTGATGATAATGAATTAAAATCATGTGAACAGACAATGCAGCAGGAGTTTGTAACGAGGAAGTTAAAAGATGGTTAAGATCAATCATACACGTGTTGTTAGATGTCTTGGTCCAACAGATCACTTGACAAAGTCATGCTCTCTCTTCTGATTTGAGTCAGGGCTGCCTCTGTTTAGTTATTTAATTGAAATTTTTTGTCTCCTAATTAGTAGCCATCAGCTTGGTGCATGGATATGTATGTATGTACAACGTCCTATTTTTGGAAAATTTTGTAAAGAAAATCTTCTCTGGTTTTAAGGTACCATGCACGTATACATAAACTGTCGACTGAATTATTACTAACTAGGCATTAAATAACCAACATGGGTTGTAATGCATGTCTCGCACCCTGCCCGGCTGGAATTCGCCTTAAGCTTGCTCTCCTCGCCGGTTGGACGCGGAACCTGCACGAAACTCCCACACCGGAGGTGTTTTCCGGTGAAGAGCCTCCAACGCTCAAGTCAGATCTTGAGAGATAATATCAGTGTATAGAAAGATGTAAAGTATATCAGATTGTGTCGAAAATGAGGATTCTCGCCCTTATTTATAAGGGCGAGTTACCTGTATTACACGCGCGAGGCGAGTGCGTTCGTCTAACCGTCCTCTGCTTGTCCGTACGGTCGCGCGCCTCCACTACCCATGATGTCAGAGAACGCGTCACCTT